CCCGCTTACATCGTTTTCACGAACTGGATTTGTCAAAATAAGTTGTTCTTTTCTTGAGAGTCCTTGTTCACGATGAACGATTTCATCCAACCATCCATGACTTCCTTCGTGAGTTTCGTCAGCAGCCCAAACGGATAAGAGCTAAATTTGATCATAACAGCCATTGATAGCAAGGAGGAGAATAGTGGCTTACAATAAGAAAAACAGTGCACCACTTGAGCATGTCTGACGAAGGTGGAAGTGTGTTACCCTTTCAACGGACAATGCAAGAGAAAAGTGTATCCAGTCTTTTTATGGGCAGAGCTTTTTTTCTGAAATCGCATCAATCCTCTTACTTTGCTGCAGAGATTGTAAGCAAAAATGTATTTGTTCATTTTATCATGGGCAAACAATTTTTTTGGATCCATGTCAACTTTCTTATCCTGATATAGACCGTTTAGCGTTAAATATTCTTGGTCATTTAATCATGAACGTATGCACTTTCTAAGGGTCGTGTCACTTCTTATCTTGATGAGCAGAGTTCAAAAAATGCATATTCCTTGTTTATACAATGAACCTCGGTTTTACGTTGAATTGTAGTAAAGACAGCACCGGCTGATCGCATGAGCCCACTATTTATAAGTTTACCCATATAGGATTGTACACTTACGACTTTAGTGCCTAAAATGTCCACATTTGGTCGATGCTGGTAAGAGAGGTATATGGTGAGGCCAATATTACAGATCTCCGTTTTCCTCCAGCGGAGCTTATTTGGTACGCAACCACGGAAAAATTTCCGTTGGCTCTTCGTGAAAATATTGCCACTTTTTCAACATGCGATCATCACATCGAGAGATTACCTTGAACCCTTACTATCTTTACACCTCAAAATCCCTCACCTCCGTCTATAAAAAGATTAGCGCCCTTCCGCAATTTATATATCAAACATCTTTCGTAGGTTTTTTTTTGGTGCCGACCCTTTTGGCGTAAAGACATTATTCTGATGAAGTTTTGAGCATTCGAATTTACCGTACCGATATTTTTTGAATAGCGTTTTAATCCTCAACTTACGCAACGCTTTTATAAATCCATTACCTGATCTTATACTGACGTCTAACCTCCACAATTGACGCACCGATATAGATATAAATTTTCAGTGTCAGCTTTTGATTTAAATGTTCTAGTTGGAGCAGTAAAGCTAGGTTTCATATAACACTTTACATTTATGAAACAAACAGTTTAGTGTATTTTTAAATGTGGCCTGTGATTTACAACAGACGTTGTGTATTCAAGGTGAATAAGGTTGACGAAGGAATAATGTGTTACATCGACTGTTTCTAACAAATGCAATTTGTATAACTGGTAAAGAATCAAGCCTGCAGTCATCCTAAATAAGGTATACAAATGCGTACGCTTTGCGTCGCTCTCAGTTTCGCTAAACCCTAGAACGTGTCAAATAGGTTTCTTAAGAGAATTTAAAAATGGTCTTGATATAATTTCTTATACGCGTGATAATGACCTCAAAATGTTATAGAGAAGTTTTTTTCGAAATATTCGAAAAAATTCGTTATTGTTCGAAAAAGCTTTGGCCTGACAATTGTTTTGGAGAAA